GCCGGCCCAAAGATATCATTTTAATCAGTGAGGAAAAGGACTACTTTATTAAAGTGAAATTCACATAATGGGAAAAGGATTTTTTAATAAGTGGCATAAGATAAACTTCAAATGGATGTTAAAAATAGAAACAAACAAACAATACCAGTACTGGAAAAAACATATATAAATTCCTTTATAACTGAAAGAAGAAAATGTCTTTCTGTGACTCAAAATTCAGAAGCAATACATGCTAAATACATTACAATAATTAAATTTAAAATTTAAAAACAAAACATTTTACATGGCAAAATATACAAGTAACAAGGCAATTGGGAAAATATCTTTTAACACTTATAAAGAAAAAATACCCCTAATACATAAAGAGCTCCAAAGAGCCACTCGGAAAATTGTTTGGCAGTTTCTTAAAAAGTTAAACACAATTTACATACAACCCAGTAATTCCATTCTTGTGTATCTACTCCAGAGAAATGGAAACATATTTCCACAAAAAGATCTGCATGTGAATATTCACAGCAGTATTATTCAAAATAGCCAAAAACTGGAAACAACCCAAGTGTCCATCAACTGACAAATGGGTAAATAAAATGTGGTACATCTATACAATGGAATAAATTCAGCCATAAAAAGGAGTTAAGTACTAATACATGCTACGATATGGATGAACCTTAAAAACGCTACACTAAGTGAGAAAAGCACATTGCAAAAGATCATGCATTGAATGATTTCATTTATATAAAAGGTCCAAATTAGGCAAATCCAGAGACAGAAAGCAGATGGTTGCCAGAGGTTGGGGGAGGTGAGAGTGACTGCTAACAGTTATGGAGTTTCTTTATGGGATGATGAAAATGTTCTGGAATTAGTGGCTATAATTGTACAATCTGTGAATATACTAAAAACCACTGAATTGTACACTTTAAAAGGATAAATTCTATGGTATGTGAATTATAACTTATTTTTTTACTTTAATAAAAAAACAGAAACACTAGGATTTGATTCTTATAGTAACTCAATCTGTGACCTTGAGCAAATCATTTCACTCTGCCCATTTTTCTCCATCTGTGTGAATAGTTCATTAAAGCTTTCCTAAGAGGCCTGATATTCATAATAAATTTTAAAAGTTGGATGAATAAACATACAGCTTGAGGGGATAAGAGCTGACACTACCAGAAATTGAAAAAAGAGCTTCTACTTCATAAAGTATGAACCTTTCTCACAGTTCTCAATATACAATAATCTATTAGCTATCATTATCAAGAACTTATGTATCAGGAACCATAGTGCTTTTAATGTATTATTATCTAGTCCTCACAGTACTGTAAGGTAAGCAGAGATATCCCCACTTTAGAGATAAGAAAACAAACTGAGAGATTAAATGACTTGACCAATGTAAACTCAAGCTGGGCTTCAAACTCTGATCTATGTCACTTCAAACACCAAACTCTTCTATTCAAGGTATAATAAGGAGAACAATGGACAAAAATCTGAAGTCCTGGGTTTGAACACTGTTTTTGCCACTTAAATTCTGTGATACTAGTCAAATCAATGAACACGTTGAGTTTTCTCATTTATTAAAAGAAAATATTAACTGCCCTAGTTTACCTCATAAAATACAAAAAGGCATTAATATATACATGTCAGTCAAAGCACTATGGAAATGTAAGAGATAATTATAGAAAAGTAATACTATTGATAAACCAAAAACATGTTGAATAATGAATGGCTTTAATATTCTATAGTCTCTCTAATGGTAATAGTATGTACTACAGCAGTGATTTTCAAGATATACCTCTCAAGCACACCAGGGGTGCAAAGCAAGTAGGGGTCCCAAATTCACTTTAATCAGAGTAGCTCCAAAAGCTTTAATAAAGAAGTTCAAAACCACTGTTTTTGTCATCTATTGGCATCTACTAATGAACAATGACACCACAATTTCAGGCCTTACCCAAGAGAAAGTGTTGGTGTACTCAAAAGGGACTGGATTCTAGAAACTAAACCTAGACTGAATCTTGGTTCTGCCACATACTAGCTGGGTGACTTTAAATCTCTGAGAATAACCTTTGACCTTTAATTTCCATGCGTATAAATGCTGGCTTGTGGGCAGATTAAATAAAATAATGTTCATAAAGTTACTATGATGCGCGGCACATAATACTTACTGAAAAAAGAAAAAAAAAGTAATTGCTATAATTACATTATACAACAATACTTTGGAATTATTAAGTCCACTTTGAAAAACTGAATTACAGAAACTCGAGAAAAATCATAAACTCTGAATATGCACCCTGAATATGCTAACACATCTAAATATGGTTTAGTGAAATTGAAAGCAGGAGATTATGAAAAAAATAGTTCAACAAGCAAGTCACACAAGAGACTGTCAAGGGAACAGGCCCAACTTGAGAGTAACAGGGGAGCGGAAAAAGAAGGGAACATAAGATAAAAATGAGTAAAAGGAGTAATAAAAATGCTTTGAAATTGGTGGAAGTGAGGCCTCATTAATAAAGACTGACAGGAAAAAGAAAGACTTTCTCCTAGAGTATGTGCAAAGGAATAAGACACAACTCAATTCCAGGATGACAACTATGAATCCAAAAAACACAACAAGTCTCAAAATTAAGAGACCCTAGTCCTAAGCCTTAGTGGCCCAACCATTAAGCTTCTAGAGTACCTTGGTATCAGGAAGATTCAAGTCTCAGTTTCTTCATTTATTAAGAGAAAATATTTCCCCTGCCTTTTAGCTTACATTACAGAATACAGAATTATGTTGAGTGTCAGGTTCCTCAACTATATGATGAAGTGGTGAAATAAGATCATTTCTAAGCTCTCTTCCAGCTTTATGATTCTGGGGAAGGAAGAGAACCTAAATTATCACCAACAGTAAACTTAGATGAGGCCTGCTTATGTACTAATAAGGAAGAAAAAAATAAAATATAGGAAAGCAAGCCACTTGACAATTCACCAACATATGCTCTTCTCTTCACAATGCTATGATTAAAAAAACACCTTTCTAAAGAACTTTCTTTTCCAGGATAAACAGTTAACCTAAATCAAGAAGACCAAAGCACCTATATAAAAAGCATAAGTTACTAACAACTATCCAATCTTCTAATCACAGATTTTCTCTTTATTTTCACCCAGTTCTTCATCTTTAGACAAGTTGTTTTGACAAAGTGAGAAGCTGAGTTCTAATTAAACTTATCTAAAGCATGTATAGTTATTAAAAAGCTAATATTATATATTTGTACAGAAGAGGGCTGGTGTACTGAAAGTGCTGGTGTACAAATTTTAGTATAGGACAGGGAGCAACTAAGAATACATATCAACAATAAATGTTACATTAATTTTATACTCCAGGTTAATTCTCCCAAATAATCTATTATGGGTCAGTTTCCAGATTCTTTTTATTCATGTTATAGTCCAAAGCCAAAACAATCTTCATTTTACCTTACATGTAGCCTTCTACCTCCTTTCTATTTTGTGTCCATTAGCCTGTATCTTCTTCTGTCAAAGTTTTCCCATTTTTGTACTGTGTATCATAGTTAGGTCTCAATTCAATTCTTACCTTCTCTCCCTGGTTTTCCAAATCATTCTCATCACCCCTCGACCCCAATATTTTAATTTATAGGATTCTCCTTTCTCTTCCTTCCTAAGACCTACTTTCACAGTACTGCACCTCTTATCCTTTTCTCCGTTTTTTAAAATCAGTTTTTGTACATATTACTTCTTCAGAACCTAAGATTTCTTGTCTCTAGCCCTTTTTCCAAGAACATCTAGCAACCCATCTCTAGAACCCCAAATACACACTCTTGACCTAAGTATCCTTCCTTCTCTTTTTCTCTTTACAGCCATTCCCAAAATCCTGTCTAATTCTACAAATGCCCCTGAAACCCAAATGTCTACTCAATTTTCTCTGATTTCCAGCAATTACCTCTCACATGTTCAATTTACTCTGTCTCCTACATCCAAGTATCCCCTAACCTGGCACAAGCCATTCAACAACCTAAAATTCCAAAGCCTGTCTCTTCTACACAGCTCTCCTCCCTTTCCAGCAAATTGTTTCTCCCAAAACATTTTAAGCGGCGTTCCCAATGCTTAACTAATTCTAAGTCCTGGTTAGACCAGTACATGGCTTCCCTCAGACCTATTTACCTAGTAAAAACCAGCTGCTGAAATCTTCCTCTGCAAGCTTCCCGGACCTAGCCTCTGCAGCAGTCCCATTCACTAAACCCTGTGACTAGTCATTTCTCAATCTCTAGAGCCTATGGTCACTCTCTAAACTCCACAGCCAGCTCTCCCTCATCCTTCCCTTACTCCCCCAGCTTCTGAACACGTTCCTATTACCCTTCACAGTCTTCCTGGCTATGTTAGTCACCCTTCCTTAGGCTTATTCCCCAAGCTTTCTCAGTTCTCCCTTAAGAGACCTAATCTCCTAGTCACCCCCTCACTCCTCTTACACCCTTGGGAACTCTCTCTAGAACTTTCTGCTCTTAGTTCTCCTCTTTCCTTCTCCTACCCTGCCTCAGGTGTTTTCTGCTCCCCTCAGCTTTTCTAATATCTAGTTCTCACAGTCCTCTTTCTCCTCCCAAACCTTTCCATAATTGTTCCCCCAATTCCCCTCAACTTTTCTCTCGGTTATTTGCCTCAACCCTCTCTGGCACATTCCTCCCAACTTTGTCACCATTCTACTTCTTTTCCTCAAACCTCCTCCGTTCCTTCTTCTGGGGGTGGCTCTCACATCCCTTATTCTCTCAGTTTCCCCAATCTCTGCCTCATTTCTTTGTCCCTTCAACAATATTATTCGTCCTCCAATTTCCATTGATTTGGCGCCTCCTCTAGTCCCTAAGTCTGCCTTCTATTCCATCTAAACGTCTCCAGGCCGCCGCCAACATTTTCTCCTATCCTTAGTTTCCATTCCTGTGCTGCTGTTAACGCTCAGCGACACCATTCTCCAAAGGCCGGGGACTGGCCTTTAGGGAGAAGGGGTACGGGTCACATACCCCATTCGCATCTTGGCTCCGCTCTGACTGCCCCCGCTGCCAGGTAAAGGAGGGCGAGAAGGCAGGCGGCCGAGGTGCATGCTCTTTTCGAGGGCCGACATCAAGGGGAGTCCGCACGGAGTCAAACAGCAGCTGAAGCTTCGTCCCACGCTAAGTGCGGCCCAACCGGTCACAGCTCGCTCCCCTAACAACGCCCAGGCGCCTTTGGACTGCACCCAGCTACCGGTAACACCGCCTACCGCCCACCGGCTCTGCAAACTCCACCCCCTCGCCTCAGCGCTTCCACCGGAAATGCGCAACGGCTCTTCCACAAAGGAAACTGGGTAACGGAGTCGGCGGACGCTCCGGAGACCCCGCAAGCCCCTAGCGCGAAAGAGGAGCGCTCCTGAAGGCAATGCACCCTGGGCAATGGAGTTCTCGAAAGGCGTATCACTTTGCGCTTGCGCAGCTGGAGGCGCCCCTGTCCTACCCCGCAGAGGTAGCGTAGCAAAGCATCCTGGGTGTTGTAGTCTATTGGCGGGAGGGAGTCTTGGCGCCTTCTCGTTTCACCGCTTCCCGGAGACTGTTAGAGGAAGAAACGCTTTTTCCGGCCTCCCAGGCTGCACAGCGGCGCCGGTTGCCGGGGAACGCAGGCGCCGTGGGACGGGATGGAGGGAGGACACGGCTTAGGTGCTGGGGCCGGAGTTGAGTTGAAGAGGAGCTCGGGCTCATCATGAAACAACGAAAAGGCCAGGGGCCTGGGGGCGGCCGTGAGCGCAAGAAGAGAGGTAACCATAGGGCAACAGAGTGTGAGGAATTCTAGAGACCCCCATCCCCGCCGGTAAAAATAGAAAAGGAACGAAAGAGAGAATACCCAGGGAACCAGAAGGTTAAAAGAGGGCAATTGGCCCTCCAAAGAATGGAAAGGAAATACGGGCTGGGGAAGAGGGCATGAAGGGGTGATAATGAGACAGAGTGAAGCCTACGAGGGTACGAACAGGACGACTGTAGAGGAGAACAAAACATTCTAGGAATGTTTTTGATAAGAAAGTTAAGTGTGTGTGAGTATGTGTGTAGCTTTGGACGTACACAGGGGGGCGAAAAATGCATACGTTGGAGAGGGGAGTACGTTAATGATCTAATGGGCAAGGATCACGCTTTATGCATTACTGAAGCCCCAAGGACTAGCACAAAGCAGGACTCAATAAATGTTAGTTGAGTGAATGAAATATGAAGGGCTAGAACAGGAGTTGGGAAAGATAACTGTGGAGTATACAGGGGGGAAAGAATGGAGAGTGAGAAGGTGTGGTAGGTAGGACTGGAGTGGGAGTAAGAGCATGAGCATCTCCTGAAGAACCGGAGATGAAAGTATGTGTAGCCATAGGACCTCATCAGGTTAGGAGTCTAAGGAGAAACGAGCTCGCCAAAAGACTAGGGAATGTTAGCTGCAGTGAGAACAGTCACACTAGGAACCCGGGGCAGATCAGGAAAATGGACATTGAATCTCCACAGTCTCTATAAGGATGCCTTCAAGAAAAAAGAGGACAATGAGTGACGCTGCCTTTTTACATTATAGGCACGTTAGAGAGGAAAGAGGTATTGGGAACAGTGATAGTACATTAGGCCATTGGGTTGAGGACTGATGCTACAGTCCACGAATGAATCTTGTCCAAGCTGTTTAAAGATCACTAAGCAATTTTGAGGCAGTGCCCTTCCTGCCAGGAATGATGGGAGGTTCTGGGACTGAAGCATGGAGGCGTTCAACGCTGGTTGCTCCCTGTATCAAACTAGTCAAGCATATTTGCTTGATAGGAAGAAAATCAAAGTAGAAATAATATAACATAATATAGAAAAGAATGTCTATCTTGCTATACCATATGCAGCTCATGTACATACCTGTGTATAATTTTTATACGGAAGCTAAATATCCATAAAGATTATTATGGTGGGTCTTTACTATAGAGGGCAGAGAGGATGTTTGCTTTAGAAGTCCAAATAATTAGTTGTGTAGATGCTTGATCTGATAGATTTCAACATATTTTCTTACTGTGAAGCATGATCACTCCCCAGAGGAAAGGTCAGAGGAATAGAAAGGTGTATATAATATAGGAATGGTTTCTTTACATCTCTTCTAAGTCTTGATGAAAAGATACTGTGAATGAAAGGTAATCATGGTCATCAAAGGAAAATTTTATAGAAAGTCATGATTAATTGCTTTATTTACACTTTGATTTATCATCTTTCTGAAATCCAGTAAATATTAAAGCCAGTAAATATTGTGAACCCAACACGTTGCTAAAAGATAGTGGTGGAATCTGAAGATAGTAGTCTGTGTCCTCATTGATTGATCTTGGCAGGAAAAGAAGATAAACAATTTAAGATCTTCATTAGATCAACTTAAGGTCTTCATTGAAATGCTGGGTTTTGTGATACAGACTAAATCGTTTGTGAGTTGAGTGAAGGGAGTTGTTGCTGTTCTATGTTTAAAGTAAGAGCATTGCGTAAGATAACATAACTTAAAAACCAGGGATGTCACAATACTCAAAACAGTACTTAGAAAAATTTCAACTACTTCTGAGATTTTAAAACCTATCTGTTTGTATCATTATATTTGTATTCTTCAAATAGTATCTTTCAATTAAAGACAGGTTATATTAATATGTCTTAGGTGGTATGTTTTTTACTTAGAATAACCTGAATCAAACCCTAAATATTAATGTTATCAGTGCTTAAGTGACAAAGTAGGTTATTCTGTTGTCTGGTTTGCTAGTTACTTCTCATGTATTAGGATACATATTATAAGACTTCTCTCTAAACTAAAGACAAGTTTTATTTGTTTTCACTAAAAAAACAGACTATATGTTTTCTATATTTAGTCTAAATTTGATTCAGTGTTCTTGGATTCCTCCACAGGTTTGAGTGACATTTCTCCATCTACAAGCCTACCACCTCTGGTTGAAGGTCAGCTACGCTGCTTTCTAAAACTTACTATCAGTAAAGTCATATGGAAGGTTGCAAAGCCTCACACCTGTGTACTTGTCCGAGTGAGATGGTGGGGAGAAACATCAGATGGAACTCTCTTCTGTCCCAGGGACACATTGCAGACTGAACCAAAAGCTGTGAGAACAACTACACGATATGCTATCCGCTGTGGCCCAAAGCAGTTTACCTCCTATCTCACGGGTATGTTTTTGTTTTATCATTTCACCTGCAGACCTTATAGGAAGCATATAGTTATGTTGTCAGTAATAAGTGTTATTATGTACCTAGTATCTATGGGCATCTTTTTAAAAAAAATGTATTAAGTATTTATTGAGCACCTATGTTCTAAGCACTATGCTAGATGCCAAGGATTTCCGAAGTTAGTGATGCAGGTTTTTGCCCTAGAGAAGCTCAGAATAACATAAAAGACATAGGTGACTGAAGGCTTTACATTTGCTTGGAAAAACAGATTACACAGCCATGAGATAAGTTAAGAACACTACAGATCAATTTACTGGTCAGCAAAAATCTCTACACTATAGTGGGTTCCCCTATATAGTGGATTTGTGATAATTAGGACAAGAAACTTTTGCCCTATTGGTGAAAAATATTAGTACTACAAGCAAGGTATAAACAATGCATTTCCATTATCATAATGTTTAGTAGAGCAGGTTTCCAACTTCCTGAGATCATCTCCACTTTTTAACCTTTTTTTAGGAACTACATTGTGTCATGTTTGTTAAGAACAATTGACTTATACTAGTGACAGGCATAATGCCCAGATAGCCTTACATTTGGAAGCCAAATCCTATAAAAGGAAAAATGTGTTTTGTGACATATGGCAGAGACATTGTAGATTTTAGAACAGTTGGAAAAGTTATTTTAGAATATATTTTTCTTTTCATATTATTGACAATCCAGAAAATATCTAGACAGTGAAAAATTATCAGTAGGTTGTTTTTTAAGGTCTTCATGCAAGTCAGTTATTTTGAATTTGGCGTGTCCCCAGAGAAATCTTTTTATATGTAGGGTCTAGTTTCCAAGAGAGTTCACAAAAAGTGTAGGTAACTGGTAATGTGAATAATCAATCGTGTGAATCACAGTATTTCCCAAATTGTGTTGGCTGCTACATTCATGGGGATCTATGAGTTTCGTAAGAATTACTAAATCCTGTGTTTTTATTTTGATAACAGTCTAAAAATTAATGTAATCATATTCTGGGTCATCTAAATGAATAACCTGTTATGTGATTCTTGAAATTGTGTTTATGGCTGTCTTTAAAATTATGTTAATCTCTTGTTATTTGCTTTAACAGTTTTAGAGGTTTACTACATATATTGATTAATAGCTAGCCACCATTTGGTGGGCTTGCATTAAAGTTAAAATGACACAATTCTTTCATATTTATTATTATACTTACGTTGATTTTGTTTACCTGTTATGAGACAAAACTTGATAATTCCCATTTGAAAGATATATTAAATCACTAAAATTTTAGTTTAAAAAAAAATTTTTTTTTTCCTTTTTGTCTTTTTTACTGACCAGTAACGGAATCGCAACCCTCGGTGTCGCACCCGTACCGGGGACCGGCAACGGGATCGCAACCCTCGGTGTTGCGCCCACACCGCGCTCAGCCAGTGAGTGGGAACCGGTCTCCACATGGGATCCGAACCCTCGGCGGGAGCGCCACCACGCTCCCAAGCGGCGCACTCTCCAGTGTGCCACCAGGCCGGCCCTTAAAAATTTTTTAAATAAAATGACAGTGTGCCAGAATAATGTGGTAGACTAATAAAATAGCAAAGGCAGACAAAGTAGGTAAATGATACGTTCGTGTTAAGGGACAGGCTTCAGGTTAAATTATGGATCTGTGTAGATGAAGATCTGTATAGAAGAATTTGCAATATTTCAAGTAGAGAAAAATAGTGAGAGAATTTAGTCATCGCCTGGTAAGCAACTTAACAGCAGTTAACTAACTATCAAAGTGAATACTCAGTGAAATGTTTTTTAATTGGAAATTTTAAAATAATACTGCTACATTTTAGAGTGCCCTAGTAATTTCTTCCATCAAAGTAATAGATCAGGGCCGGCCCAGTGGCGCACTGGAGAGTGTGCCGCTTGGGAGCGTGGCGGCGCTCCCACCGAGGGTTCGGATCCCATGTGGTGACCGGTTCCTGCTCACTGGCTGAGCGTGGCGCGGGCGCAACACTGAGGGTTGCGATCCCGTTGCCAGTCCCCGGTACGGGTGCGACACCAAGGGTTGCGATCCCGTTACTGGCCAGTAAAAAAGACAAAAAGGAAAAAAAAATAATAGATCAATACTTATTTTTTGCTTTGCACATTATTTTTTAAATTGGAAAATTTCTCATAAAAATCCAGATTTCTGGCTTTTTATTTTTTTAATAGATTAATTTGATATTATTTTACATTCTAAGATGTTGTGGAGCAGTTGAGGGGAAAAGGAAGAGGGGAAAGGGGAGGGAGATAGGGCAGGACATGGTCTTGGCCTGTGGTGCCCCTCTCATTCCAGCAGGGGAACCCAAGCGGCTTCTGGAGGTGGCCTGGTGGTCATCACTGGGCTGGATGTGGAAGTTAGGGGTGTGTGGCTGAGGCCCTTGGCCCCCCACCACCCAAGCTCAGGAGCCCAGGCCGCTTTTGGCAGCAGACCGGCCATCATTGCTTGGCTGGATGCAGACATCAGAAGGGTGTGGCTGAGGCCCTTGGCTCCCAGCCACACAGCTCCGAAGCACAGGGCACTTCCGGCAGCTGCTTGGTGGTCATCACTGCACTGGATGCAGACGTGGGGAGAGGGTGACTGAGGCCCTCATTCCTCCCCCAACTCCACCTTGGAAGCCTGGAGGGCTTCTGGTCCTTCTAGGTTTTATAGGTGTTCTTTGGTGGTGTTAGGCCTTTACCGGTTAATATCAGAACTTTGTCTCTGATCTGTGTGTTTTTTGTTTTTTCTTTCAGTTCTGTATTGGATTATTCACTATTCTCACCACTTAAATCTGCACTGGAACTAATTTGTTGTGCTTTGCTTACTCCTAAAAAGGGGGAATTTCCTGTGGGAATCAGCACTTGAGCCAAATTGCTGCTTTGTTGCTGATTCTCTGGGGAAGGCTTTTTGTGCAGCTCAGGTTTTGTTGACCTTGTAAGTACTTCCATTTCTTGTGAGGCTCAGTATACCTGGGTTTTGTGGAAACGCCAGTCTGGGCCTCAGTCTTTTCAGCAAACCATACCCCCTGCAGTTCTATATTCCTGACAGTGTCCACTGAGTGGGCCTGTGCTGATTGGAGGGCAGATCAGCTGTCCATGCTGTGCCGCAGTGTTCCCCAGCTGGGCCTGTCTCCCCCATCCTGTGCACTCCAAACACTTCCCATGGGATGGGCCATGCGCCAGTACTTTGCAATTACTCACCAACCTCTGAGTCGCTCCTTTATTCAGTTGTGTGTGGCCCCTCACTCCTGTGTGGGTTCATGGAAACCTTGTTAGTGGTCTTGCTGCCCTGGGGGCCACCGAGGCCCTCTTCCCTATAGTCTCCAAGCAACTTCATATGAAGGGCACAGCAGCAATTTTTGCTAGCCCTTGCTCCATGTGTTCACGAGGGCCAGCCTTGAAATGGTCGGTGCTCAAATCATTTGGGGCTCAAATCGTTCAGAGCAGTCCTTTCTTTTTTTTTTTTGTCTTTTGTCTTTTTCCGTGTCCGGCAACGGATCGCAACCCTCAGTGTTGCCCCCGTACCGGACCGGGGACCGGCAACGGGATTGCAACCCTCGGTGTTGCCCCCGCGCCTCGCTCAGCCAGTGAGCGGGAACCGGTCTGTATGTGGGATCCGAACCCTTGGGCGGGAGTGCCGCCGCGCTTCCCAAGCGGCGCACTATCCATTGCGCCACCGGGCCGGCCCCCAGAGCAGTCCTTTCTGTCATCATGGCTTCTCCTACTTTCATGAACTACATAGGTCTCTTTTCCTCTTCCCCTGAGCTCTATCGACCCCAGCTTGGCATTCATTGCTTTTTCATAGTTGTAAATTGGTTGATTGTGGGAGTGACACTGGGAACCGTCTATTCCACCATCTTGATCAGAAGTCTTTGGGCATTGTTAATTATTGAAGGGTCAAAGAGGTTTTATAAGAGCCATGATTTATTGACTGTGTGTTATGTGCTAGTGATTGGTACATATTATTTCTAATTTTTACAATAACTCTGCAAGATAGGTATCTTCTCTGTTTTGTAGACAATGAAACTTAGGTTTAGGGAGATGAAATGAATACTCTCTGAGGTCCCATAGTTAATAAATGGCAGAACTAGGATTTGAACCTCTTATCTGACACCAAAACTCATGCTCTTTTCACTACACCATGCTTCTTTTGTTAATAACTGTAGTCTGAACTCTGGGGCTTATACTATGCTTCAGGAAAGAGGATATAGGTGTAAAATTTAATAGTACAAGATAATACATGCTAAATGCCAAAAGAGTAGTTTAGTGAGTTAATATTACAGATTTTCAGAGAAGGAAAGGATCCCTCAATAAGGAACCAGAAGCCAAGATGTCTTCATTTCTATACAGGGAAAATATTCTAAATATATTATGTTATTTTTTTTTTTCAGGTCAAACTTTCACATAAACACATTTTGGATGGTGAAGTTATTTATCAAATCAGTGCAGTTCAAGTCAATAAAAATCGACTTTTTATCATGTAAACATTGTTAAGCTCAAAATATTGGAGAGAATGGTGAATTAAAGATTAATATGTCTTTAGGTAACTTACATTCTTTCAAGAAAAAAATTTAAAACGTCAACTTGTAAAGAGCCAATGCTGTAAATCATTCATTCAAAAAATGTATATTGAACATTTAGCATGTGCTAGACACTGTGCTAGGCACTATGGGGATTACAAAAATGAATCAAAAAAATTAATCAGAATGGTATCTAATTCGAACTAACTTCACAAAGAAATTTAGCTAGGTTGAAATTGATAAGTGCTATTAAAATATACCCATAGATATTCTTGGTATTGTAAACCTAAAACTTAAATCGTTAGATGTTATTTTTGTATACTTTAGTAAATAAAGAGTGATTAAAAATTTAGTGAAAATATCTATAAAATACATTAATCAACAGGTCAGAGATTTATATGAGTATCCTGGGGTATAATATTGTACTTGGCATCTGAACATTTAGCTTGGTGTTACCAACTGTGGGATTTTGGGAAAGTCCCTTCCTATTTCTGACCCCTGTTTTCTCATCTGTGAAATGGCATCAAATAGCTGCCAAATTTGAGGATTGCTATCCGGGAGTCACAGATTCAAGTTGCCCTGAATATGTGCTCTGTCCATTCAGCAGTAGTTACAAGCAGATTTTTAAAGAGAGAAAAGGAGAAATTAAGGAGCAGTTCCAAAGTTGTTTACCAAAAATTCACATTAGTTCACTAAAATAACATAGCTACCCATCGGCTGTACATTGCTCTTTGCATCATAAATTTCAGAAACATTGCAACAAAGAAAGGATGAATCTGAAAGGATGAGTCACATTGTGCAACTCGCGGTAACATTTGGGTAATTTACATCAGCTGGTGGCAGCAGCCAGTTTGGAAACTGTTGCTAGAACCTGGGTGAGAGGGATGTGACTGAGGCCTCATGCTCATGTCTCCCTGAGCCTGATAAGTTTAGCAGACCTCACATTCCTCAGATTGCTCTGAGTCACTTTTCTATCTTATTTTGATCTTTGGTTCACACTTCCCTGCCCCCAGAATGGTATGATAAGTGCCTGATTTAATTTGAAATTAAAATAATTTTTTAAGTAAAAAAGCTTTTCACTGTATAACTCTCTGCCCACTTCCAAAAATAAAATAAAAGTAAATGAAAAATATCTGAGTATGTTGTAATTGTTTCTGATTAGATATGGCTGTGCTGGTGCTGGAAGTAATCACCAAACTTGATCATCTTCCAATTGGTAGAGTTCAGATCAGTGGACTAGCTCAGCTTTCACCAACCCATCAAATCAATGGATTTTTTGCCATTGTTTCACCAACATCTAAGAAACTTGGAGAACTTCAGGTAAAAATATTTTAATTCTTTGCTGTACAGTATAGAACTTTTGGGGCAGAAATACTAGGGTACTTCAAAAAGTTCATGGACAGTTTCATATTATCTTTCAATTCTATTTTTCCACGAACGTTTTTGAAGTACTCTCATAGATGAGTCTGTTTGTAGAATGGATAGGTGGTACATGACTCCCGTACATCATGCTAATTCCTACCTCATGCCTTTGTTTGTGTTTTTACCCAGGGACTATAACCTACCATTATTTCCCACTTACCCAAATTTGCTTAGTGTTTACTTCCCATCTCAAGTTCCAAGAGTCCTTTATACCTCCTATTTCACTTATTCTTCTCTGCACTCTTTATTAAATTTATAAAACTATTGATTACGGGCCGGCCCGGTGGCGCACTGGATAGTGCGCCGCTTGGGAAGCGCGGCGGCGCTCCCGTCCGAGGGGTCGGATCCCACATGCGGCCCGGTTCCCGCTCACTGGCTGAGCGGGGGCGGGAGCAACACCGAGGGTTGCAATCCCGTTGCCGGTCCCTGGTCCGGTACGGGGGCAACACTGAGGGTTGCGATCCGTTGCCGGACATGGAAAAAAGACAAAAGACCAAAAAAACAAAAAAAACTATTGATTACGGGCCGGCCGGGTGGCGCGGTGGATAGTGCGCCGCTTGGGAAGCGCGGCGGCGCTCCCGTCCGAGGGGTCGGATCCCACATGCGGCCCGGTTCCCGCTCACTGGCTGAGCGGGGGCGGGAGCAACACCGAGGGTTGCAATCCCGTTGCCGGTCCCTGGTCCGGTACGGGGGCAACACTGAGGGTTGCGATCCGTTGCCGGACATGGAAAAAAGACAAAAGACCAAAAAAAAAAAAAAAAACTATTGATTACATAATCATTGTTCAGTTATAGTCCTACAGTCTCCAAAATTGTTTATTAGTAGGCTCCCTTCAAGTCCCCTTCCCTTTAGTTTCTTGATTCCCTGAGAGGAAAGCCTGTGTTTTCTACTTGCTCTGTTTTTCCCATAGCTCCTCATAAAGTGCCAAGCACTAATTGTTTGTTTGGCTCATGTAAGTGGTGTCTTTGATGTATTCATTCATTGATTGAGTCTACTTTTTTTGTTGTTTTATTTTGTTTTTAATTGACACATAATTGTACATATGTATGGGGTACAGTACAGTGTTTCAAAACACGTGTATGTTGTGTAATAATCAAATCAAGGTAATTAACATTGCCATCATCTTAAACATTTATCATTTCTTTGTGAAAACATTCAAAATCCTCTCTTCCAGCTATTTTGAAATATGTAATTCATTGTTGTTAACTGTATTCATTCTGCTATGCAATAGAATATCAAAACTTATTCTTACACTCTAACTATAACATAGTACCCATTGACCAACCTCTCCACGTCACTCCCATGTCCCTACCTTCCCTAGTGTCTGGTATCCATTATTCTACTCTCTACTTCTATGAGATTAACTTTTTTTAGATTCCATGTATGATTGAGATCACCCTTCTGTACCTGGCTTTTTTCACTTAATGTAATGTCCTCCAGGTTCATACATGTTGTCACAAATGGCAGGGTTTTATTATCTTTTATTGTTTAATAGTATTCCATTGTGTATATTTACCGTGTTTATTTTTAATACATTCATCCATTGATGGACACTTAGGTTGATTCCATATCTTGGCTATTGTGAGTAGGGCTTCAATAAACATGGAAGTACAGATGGCTCTTCCACATACCAATTTCATTTCCTTTGTTATGTATACCCAATAGTGGGATTGATGGATCATATAGTAGTTCTATTTTTAATTTTTTGACCATAATGTCTGTACCGATATACATTAGTACTGTTGACCATAATATCTGTACTAATTTACATTCCCACCAACAATATATAAGAGTTCCCCTTTCTCCACATCCTCCGCAGCATTTATTTTTTGTCTTTTTGAAAATATTTGTAGCCATTCTAACTGGGGTGAGGTGATATCTCATTGTGATTTTGTTTTGCATTTCCCTGGTGATTAGTGATGTTAAGCATTTTTTCATATACCCATTCACCATTTGTATGTCTTCTTTGAGAAATGTCTATTCAGGTCTTTTGCCCATTTTTAAATCAGATTATTTGTTTTCTTTTCATTGAGTTGAGTTCCTTATATATTTTGGATATTAACCCCTTGTTAGATGCATAGTTTGTAAATATTTTCTCATATTCTGTAGGTTATCTCTTTTCTCTGTTGATTGTTTCCTTTGCTGTCCGGAAGCTTTTTAGTTTGATATAATTCCATTTGTATATTTTTTTCTTTTGTTTGCCTGTGCTTTTAAGATATTATCCAAAGAATCGTTGCCTAGACCAATGTCATGAAGTGTTTCACCTTTTTTCTCCCTAGTTTTATAGTTTTAAGTCTTACGTTTTAGTCTTTAATCCATTTTGAGTTGATTTTTGCATATGTTGAGAGATAGCAGTCTAATTTTATTCCTCTGCATTCTTCCAGGACCATTTATTGAAGAGATCAGCTTACTTTTTTTTTTTTTTTTTTTTTTTTTTTTTTTTGATACACTGTTATATGCCACTTCCTAAGGATACAGAGATAGGAGATGGTTCTTTCATTTAGTTTTCCAGAACAATGTGATACATATGCTGTAGATATGCACAGTATGCTGGGAAAGAACATAGAAATATCCCTTTTTTAGGGGGAATATTTGGGAGCGCTTCCTCCAGAATTCTGGATATTGAAATCCCTTAGAAATTCCAAGGGGGTTATACCTTGTCAAAAATTTATAAAAAATTTTTATAGAAAATTAAGCAGATAAATAAGAAAATAGTCCAAAAAAGATAAAGGAAGGACATCTAACATTATTATATGTAAGAATGTATTACAGAATCACAAGCATATAATTGTGTCAGTGGAACAGAATAGGGAGCCCAGAAGTAGATCAAACTAAGTGAAAGAACTTAACATTTTCTTTGTTGTATTTACAATATTTTTGTTTACAATACATTTTTAAAATAGTGACACCTGTGTTGATAATTTTATAGTGAAGTGAATCTGGTTTGTTCTTGCTTTTCTGATGATGGTATAAATTTGCATTAGACCTACAAGGCAGTTTGGCATTCTATTTTAAGAGCCATAAAAATTATCATATATCATTTACCTCAGTAGTTCCACCCCTGGGAATTTATCTTAAGAAAATGTAATATAAAAAGAGAAGGAAGCTATATGTGTACTTCTAGTTGTGGAAATATATTATCACTACTGAGAAAATGAAAACAATTTGTTCAACAATATTAAAATTGTAGTGAGTGGAGTATTTTGTATCTGTGGAAGGTAAAATTACATAGTTATGATTGCGTAGCAGCATGGAAAAATTATTTTGGATTGATGACAAAGGAAAATTTAAATGATATTTACATATATGTGTATGATCAATGACAGAAAAAAAACAAAGAAAAATGAAAACTGTGGGAGTGTAGAATTCTAGTTGGATTTTTTCCTTTTAAAAAAAATTAAATAGGGCCGGCCCGGTGGTGCACTGCTAGAGTGCGCCGCTTGGGAGCACAGTGGCGCTCCCGCCGAGGGTTCGGATCCCACATACAGACCGGTTCCCGCTCGCTGGCTGGGCGAGGTGCAGGCGCAGCGCCGAGGGTTTCGGTCCCGTTGCCGGTCCCGGTCCGGTACGGGCGCTACACTGAGGGTTGCGATCCGTTGCCGGACACGAAAAAAGACAAAAAGGAAAAAAAAAAAATTAAATAATTTCCATACCATAAAATTCACCCTTTTAAAGTGTACAATTTAGTGTATTAACAGGATTGTATAGCCATCACTGCCATCTGATTCCAGAACATTTCATTATCAACAAAAGAAACATTGTACCCATTAGTAGTCACTCTCCATTTCTTCACTTACCTGCTTTCTGTCTCTGTTTTCCTATTCAGGACATTTCATATAAATGGAATAATAAATGTTGCCTTTTGCAACTGGCTTCTTTCACTTAGCATACTGTTTCTAAGGTTTATCCATGTTGTAGCATGTATTAGTACTACATTTTTTTAATGAGTGAGTAATACCTCATTTTATTTATCCATTCTTCAATTGATGGACATTTGGACTATTTCCACTTTTTGACTATTATGAATAATGCTGCTATGAACATTCCTGTACAAGTTCTTTTGTGAACATATGTTTTCAGTTCTGTTGGATATATACCTAGGAGTAGAATTACTGGAAACTCTTAACTTCTTGAGGAACTGCCAGACTTCTTTTCCAAAGGGGCTACACATTTTTGTCCATATTTAAATGTCAGTTGATACAATAATATTTGTGTGTTTTTTATTTAAAGGTGATTGGATTTGTTAACTTGTTTTTAATAGAGCAGTGGAGACAGAGTCAGATTTTGAAAGATTAAGTGGTACTTAATAAGCACTTAACAAATAGTTATTATGGGGAAGAAATAGAAGCAACAATTAAAGATTTCTGTTTCCCAGATAAATGGCAGTGAAGAGAGGGAGACATAGTGTGATATAATGAAAGTGCACTAGACTTGGATATTGAGAAAATGGTAACAAAAAACAGTTCTGGTGTTTACAAACTAATCATTTATACTTGCTGAGCTTCGATATCCTATTTCATAAAATGATAATAAAACATTGTCGCAAGGATTATATGAGATGAAAAGTTCAGGAAACAACGTGGTGCTGGGCATGTGACAGTGACACAGCAAATTTACTTGAATTTGCGAGGAGATAGTATTGACAGTGGGTAACAGAATTGAGAAGTTTGTTCATAATGTTTTAGAATAAGGGGTTGGCAAACTTTGCAAAAATGCCAAATCTTGCATTTGAGCTAAAAATGTTTTTTTATTTTTAAAGACTCATTTTAAAAAAAAGAAGACTATGCAGTAAAGCCTAAAATATTTACTATCTAGCCCTCTACAGAATAAGTTTGTTCCTTTCATTTCTATTTCCTTGCCTTATTGCACTAAGATCTCCAGTATAATGTTGAATAAAG